TTTTAAAAAAAGATCTCAGACAAAAATTCTTCTGTTCAAGTTGGAATGTACATAGAAGGCTTCACTGGGTTGAACAGACAGCATTCCACTTCTAAAGTATTATTACTACACATATCTCTGAAAAATATCACTGTAACAAAGGCACTTTTATCAACCCTTAATTTTGTATAGGAGAAACCCCCACAGTGGAATCATAGGTGTCCTGCCTCAGCAGCTCCTTCTTACTACAGGGTCAGACTCTAAATATCAAACAGAGAAGCATTGTTAGTGCTTAGATGGCTAACCTCCTAGAAACACATAGCATGAGATTGTGTTGTTTATCTTTGGACTGTTTACCCAAGTATGGTAGCTTCAGCCACAGTGATAATCTCACCCACAGTTTCAGAGCTTGCTGATCCTCAGCATCAAGAAGAATAAAAAAAAATATTTTGTTCATTTGATCTTTGTGATCTACTAGAAATACTCTTTCTAGAATGTAGCTTTTTAAAAATATCTCCTTCCCTGGGGCTTCACTGACTATTCTGATTTATTTATTGAACACCCAAGCATCTGCTGTGTGAAATCCGGCAGAAATTTGTGGTGGAGGAGCTTGTGACCCTGCATTCCCCCTGCCCAGATATTGCCTTGGGAAGATGAAGTGCCAGGTACCAAGAGAGTGGGTCTGTTCCAGGTACCCAGCCAGGCATGGAGGGTGGGGAGCACCAGGCAGAAGAGTCAAATCAGTCAGTCACTGCCCCCTGTATGAGAGAGAATATGTGTATGGGAATATGTGTATCACCTCTCCCCGTTTGTGTATGCGGAGGTGTAGGGTGTGTGTGCCACTCCGCTCTGCGTGAAGCCTGAAGCCTTAAAGATAAGAAGGTAAATAAAAAGAATACAACTACATAGTATTTCTTTTTAACAATGACTCAATCCACTTTGTTAATTTGAACATTTGTCAAAATGATTCCTGTTGAACTTGCTTAAACACAAGTAATTTTACCAGGTGTCCCTTATTTAGTTTAGGAAATATGGTCACCCTAGTGTAGTAAGACGTGAAAATGTGAGTGAATGACCACATCACTGCCCAGCCTACGTCCTGAATAGGGACTTAGACTCATAGACTTTAAGGTCAGAAGGGACCATTATGATCATCTAGTCTGACCCCCTGCACAGTGCAGGCCACAGAATCTCACCCACCCCTCCCAGAATAATCCTCTCACCTATATCTCAGATATGTAAGCCTTCAAATACTTTGAAGACCCCAAGATGCAGAGAATCCTCTAGCTGTGATCTGTACCCCATGCTACAGAGGAA